GGTATCAATTTGCTGCAGTGGACAGCGCTGGCGGCGGCGGCGGCACGTTGCACGTGGGGGCCTAGCACGCCCGGTCTGCCAGCGATGTCGTACACTCACGTATACACAGCCGAAAGCTCGGCCGGGCAAACCAGCGAGCGGACGGAGCATGAAGGTAAGCCACTAGCTGAGAGATTGTGAGGTGAACACTAGCGAGAGGTTGTGAAGGTAAGCCGCTATGCTTAGAGCTGAAGGCGTAACTGGAGAAGGTAACTATATGTGAATGGCTAACTCATATAGAAGTGGTAACACATGTTGAAGGGTAACTGAGAGGTAACAATGTGAAAGGCGTTAACTGAGAGGTAACAATTATGGCTGAAGGGTACTGAGAGGTAACAATGTGAAGGGTAACTTTCTATATAAGAGGTAACACCATTGTGAAGGTAACTGAGACGGTAACATTGTGAGGGTAACTTCTATATAAGAGGGTAAACACCATGTGAAGGGTAACATGAGAGGTAACATCTGAAGGGTAACTATATATAACAGGTAACACCATGTGAAGGGTAAACTGAGAGGTAACAATGTGAGGGTAACTCTATATAAGAGGGTAAACCACCAATGTCGAGTTCGATTCGCTAATTGGCGAAGTTATATTAGGTAATTTGGCGGTGCCAATAGTTTTTAAGCTCCTGAAATAAGGACAATTAATAATATCCTTGTAAATGTACAAGGCATATTATTACAGTAACACCGTGTGAAGGGGTAATTCTATGTGAAAAGGAAAACGACGTGAAAATTAAAACTACATGAAAGGTAAAACTACCGGAGAGGTGAACAACGATGAGAGGTGAACCTACATGAGAATGTGAACATTACATGAGTAGAGTGAACCTACATGAGAGCTGTGAACATGTACGTGAGCAGGAACATACGTGAGAGTGAAACCTACAATGGCAGAGTTGAAACATACATGAGAGTGCCTGTGAACATACCATAGAGAGTGAACATACATGAGAGCCGTGAACCGTACATAGGAGGTGAAGCATACGGTGAGAGTGTGAACCTACATAGAGAGAAGTCAACTGAACATACATGAGCAGGTGAATCATACTATGAGCAGGTGAAACATACATGGCAGCGTGAACATACTATTGAGAGTGTTTGAACCTACAATGAGAGGTGAACCTACGATGAGAGCTTACGTAAGAACGATACAATGAGAGCGTGAAACATATGTGAAGAGGTAACGATACATGAGAGGTGAACATACATGAGAGAGTGAACATACATGGAGGTGAACCGAATTGAGGAAACGGGTGAACATACATGAGGAGGTGAACCTACATGAGAGAGGTGAACCTATGTGAGGTGAACAACAATGACGAGTCGTGAACATATTGTGAGGGCGTGAACATAGGTAGATTAAGTATCTTGGACAGAAAATCGTAGACAGTACATCAATTATATTCTCGATTTCACACGTGATTTAAAAAATAATAATTCCTAATCCGCACTACAGGGAAGGATGCCAACAAACGGCGCGTGTCAACAGCAGCAACGGCCCGCGGCACTTTGCGACAGAGCAGCGTTGACAGCGCCATCTATATTGATCACACGGCTCTCTTGAACAAAAAAACCGCTTCATGTGATACGGATCTCGGCCTGGCGACGACCTGGTTGACTCTCAGTGCCGCCACCTGCAGCAACGGTGGCCGCCCCTCAGGAAGCCGTGCCGCTTCGGTGCGTCGGGACAGCTGCCGGCGGGCTGGGGGGATACAAGCTCGAGGCGTGCTTCGTCGACGGCGTTGGGCGTTAGTTCCAGCGACGTCTGTGCCGGATGCTCGTTTCCCTTCGGCGTGCGCCGACCGGCGCGGTGATCGACCCGTGGGAGCGGTTACCAGATTGGCACCGCCGCTCTGTCCTGGGACTGACTGGCGCGCACGGGGCGCTGCTTAGACGTGAGGCCGCAGGACCGCACCGCGCCAACTCGTCCTCCGAAGTACCGGTCAATAAGAAGGCGCTTGAAGTCGTGTGACTGACAGGATGTCTTACAGCTCCGACAACACCTGACAGCTACGTTCACGCTGACGGTGTTGAGTGCGGTGCTGCGTGCGCAGTGCCGACGTCCGTGCCGTCGTGCGCGCCGTCGGTGCCGTGATGTGTGCATGGTCTTTGTGTTAGCATGATCAGGGTTTCTTATACATGAGAGGTACAGTGAACGCACCCCGGTATGTCAAATTTAACCATCGCCATTGTCTGAATACATGTCGGTTGTTAATCAATTTTACATTCAGATTTTTACAATTTTCTATGCGAGACCCCAGAACCCCTTCCACGAGAGGCGGACCCCACCTTCTCCTCTCTCCCCCCGTGTTCCGCTCTGTCAGCGTCCACATGAGTGCCTACGGCACGTCTGTTAATCCATCTGTATGCGACAAGATTTTTTGCGGGATGCACTCGGCTATGCTGTGTACACTCTGTATCACAGCTGCATTCGTGTGCTTGCAGTTTGCGCGATGCACTCGCTGTGTACTCTCTGTATCGTGGCTGCACTCAGCGAGTCGTGCACTTCGTTCTATAGTCGGTTCGGCCTGGCACTTGGCTGCACTCGTGTGCTTGCAGTTCGCGGGATGCGCTTGGCTACGCTGTGCTGCGCAACCTGCAGCGACATCGCACGAGCAGCCAGACGTCGGACATGACCCCCGCGGCCGCGATGGACGCCGGTCACCACCAGTCCTCCATGTCCGTGCTTGACCTCGTACAGGCGAAGACACGCAGCCTGGACACGTCCACGTCCGTCGCCAGGTACGATCCCTGCTGCCACCACGTAGTAACAGCAGAAGGAGTAAGAAAGAGTAGCAGAAAGAGTAAGAGTAACAGTAACAATAACAGTAGCAGAAAAAGTAAGAGTAACAGTAACAACTAGACAGAGTGCACTCACGGAGAGTGCATACCTCCGCCAACGACATACGCCATACGACTCACGAACACACGAATAACCAACGATATACGCCAGCGTACTGACATGTACACGCTGGCTTGCTGACTCGCTGGCTCGCTGGGTGATATCGATCGACCGCCAACAACATATGCCGCGGCTTGCTGACTCGCTGGCTGGCTGGCTAATATCGATCGCGCGCACACATGAACGCACTAACGCACGAACACACGAGAGCCAAAACATAACCTCCTCCAACTTCGTTGGGCGGAGGTAATAACAGTAGCAGAAAGAGTAAGAGTAACGGTGAGAGCCTAGACACCTCCACGTCTGTCGCCAGGTACGATCGACGCCGCCACCATGCAGTAACGGCAACAATAACAGTAACAGTAGCAGTAGCAATAACAGTAGCTGTAACAGCAGCAGTAACAGTAGCAGTAGCAGTAATAGTAGCAGTAACGTGACAGTTGCCTGTGTACTTTGTAATTTTTCCAGGGGATGGCCGACTAGGTGACCGTATGGTCTTTTCGTCATCCTTTCGCTGTATTGATTATTATTCGCTTTGTTAAAATTCTTGTACTTGCTAATATTGAATGAAACTGTTATATCTTATATCTTATATCTTATATAGTTGCCGTACACGTCTCCCTCTGTCTCCTTGCAGCATCAGGAAGCTGAGCATCTCTTCTATGCCGGAGCAGGTTGCCATTCTCTCTCGCAGCTCCTCCTCCGCAATCAAGGCTCAGCTAGAGCCCTCTGGTGGACCGGAGTATATCGGACTGTGCGTGCCAGTTGACGTGGGAGTCATCTTTCACGTAAGCTACCACCTACTCTAGTTTATACCACACACACGCATCTTATATGGGCTCGGTTGAATGCTTGCTACATGTACAGACGTAGTTAAATTGCAGTGGTAAGTGCAATTGGGTAAAAGTGGTTGTAAAAGTTTGGGTTCAAGATTACTTTCTACCTTGTTTGATTGGGTGTTACCTTGGGGGTTAGCTTCTAATGCATATATTTTTACAAACTTTAATAACCAATGTCATTTTTGGGCACTATATTTTCATCTAATAAACCGGAAAAAAAATTAAGAAATTAAGGCACGCCAGAGATTTATGGGATGTCACAAATAAGCTTTAGCTTTGAAGGCATGTCAGACCCTGATGCCAAGCTCAGCTGATCAGATGTGCTGATAATTCTAATGATTTGAGCAGGATGAGGAAGAGGATAACTTAATGAGGTCGTTCTCCACGTCTTTCACACAGTCATTGTTATCCGACGACGCAAGCTTGCACGAAGCTGGTAAGCAGTACTCATACCACTACTTACATTTACATTTACAAGTACATTACACTGCATTGACTGTGTTATGTGTTTACTGCGTTATGTTTTTCTTTCTTGTCACACTATGCTGTGTTGTTTCTGCCAGATGTGCACTACCAGTGGCATCACTTCCATTCTATAATGCATCGCCATATTATAGCGTTTTTCCAATTATGATTTTATGCTATGCAGTGTTGCCTTCACTGATTTAGTATCGATCTGCGACATGAATTTTTCCACATATCTTGTGTTATGCTACCCGATATTTTCTCTGCATGCTTCTACTGCACACTCCTATTCCATATTCCTACTCCTGCTATCAGGAGTGCATCATAATTAATGCATCTAGATTATACACTCCTGCTGCTATGTGTGTCAGGTGTCATACTTCTGTCTACGCTGTGGAATCTTTGCAGTAAGTCGACAAAACTTTTCTCTAGATTTTGCACGACAGTTTTCCAAGGCGGGCAGCGAGGCATCGACCAGCGATGGGCTAGAGTACCACACTAGCGCCACCTGTCTGGGATGTCTAAAGATCTACCGGCGCCACGGGTCGTTGGTCGTCACGAGAGATTCGTTTATCAACAGGAAGGTGGATAGAGGTACGTTGTTGATAGGCACAGGCTGTTGGTGCACCTGCATCGACACACCCTGGTGCTCACTCATAGCTTCTAGTTGACGATAATATTTTAATGAGAAGGTAAAATCTGGTGTTAAATAGTGGGAACAGGGGGTTACACACAGGTGCACACACATGCACAAACATGGATGCATACATGTGTGCACGCGCACGCACATGCATGCATACACGTCGTGTGCATGCGCACGCACGCACATGCACAAACATGCATGCATACATGTGTACACGCACATGCATGCATACATGTGTACACGCACATGCATGCACACGCGCAAACATGCATGCATACATGTATGCCCACAAACAGTTATGGAAGGCCATTACCGCCTATTTGAATCGCGCTTAAAATTTATTTTAAGCTCGATTGAATTCCAGCCAATTAGAACAGTGGTTTTTAATCGCGATTAAAATACATTTTAAGCGCGATTAAAATAGGTAGGTTTTGGCGATAATGGCCTTCCATAAACAGTCGCATGCACTTGCGCATGCATGCACACACATTTTATATGCTAGTCCTATAAGTACACCGTGAGTTCACCGTAAATACACCATGATGTTTACGATCATTCACGACGCGAACGATCTTCGACAGAGACGGCAGAGTTCCTGGACCTGCCCATGGCAGCTGACCTCGCGGAAGACGCTGCAGATGCTGACCAACAGATGACAGCTTCGTCCAAGGACCAGCTAGACGTTCCGCAGGCGGGCTCCCGTAGTCATGGCAACAGCAGCGTCACGGTCAGCATTGAGGTTGTGACCCCCAGGAGCTGTGCTAGCCTTGAGAGCTCGGATTCCGGTAATGGCAACCAGTTTCGATAATGTGTAGTGTAGTAATAGTAAAGTGTAATGTGTGGTAATCGACGTAGTAGAGGAGCGTAGTAATGGGAAGGGTGTGTAATCGCCTATCTATGTTTGGTAGAGCTAGCCTGTAGGAATTTAAGCTGATGGACTTATTATCCTCTGCAAGAGTATGATGGCGGTGGGCATAGGTGATTCTGGTAATGCGCTGTAGTAGTAGTAAATCATTAAATAAGTTCATTCGGTTGGTAGACTAACAGACTAATATATATGACAGGGTTAATTGTCACTCAACCGTGAAGATTGGAAACGTACCGCTTACGTTTCGCTTCCTGCCAGGAGGCTTTCTCAAAGCTAACTGATGATTGTCAGTTTTGACCACCAGATGGTGTGGTGGTCAATAGCTTAGTCCACACGTGACTAAGCCTGTATCCCCCCTCGTTCCGGTTGATGTTTGGGGTTTTGCGGATCCAGGTGGCCTCCTTAATCCAACGCCTGATTTTGATTGGCTCGCGATCGATGATCTTCGAATTCTCCCAATTGATTGTATGATTGTCTTTCGCTACGTGGTCCGTGATCGCGGATTTGGACTGTCCGTCCTTACGACCACATACTTCAAATTCAGAGACCAAATATACAACCAGAAGTTCGGAGCAGCCATGGGTAGCCCTGTCTCGCCTATCGTTGCCAATCTTTACATGGAATGGCTTGAAACAAAAGCCATTGAGACAGCACCGTATGATCTCAAACCTAAATTGTGGCTACGTTATGTAGATGACACATTGGAAATTATCAAGTCTGGTACAGTACAACAATGGACAGAACACCTCAACAGCATGTCAGCATCGACAGTACCAACAACATCAAATTCATGTACGAAGAAGAACTCGATCAACAAATTCTGTTTCTCGACACACTCATCCATAAACAAGAAAATGGTTCACTAAAACTGACGGTGTATAGGAAAAAGACCCACACGGACCAGTACTTAAACTTCAACTCACACCACACAGTCAACCACAAACTGTCAGTGGTATGGACGCTACTTGATCGTAGGGACAAGATCATAACGGAGAGTGAGGACCGGGAAGCTGAAGTGCGCCACATCAAGAACGCACTAGGAAAATGCGGCTACCCCAATTGGACACTCGAAAAAGTGTCCAAGGAGAAGAACACATCACGGGAAAAAACAACATCCCAAAAGAAAACCTCCACGGAGAAACTGAAGGCGAAGATTGTCCTACCCTATGTCAGAGGCGTCACGGACGTAGTTCAACAGCACCTAAAAAATGCAGGTGTGGCTTCAACATTTAGACTGTTTGAGACCCTAAAACGGCTTTTGGTACACCCTAAGGACAGAAGAGATATGCACAACATTACGGACTGTGTCTACAAGATACCGTGTGCAATGTGTGGAAAAAGTTACTTTGGAGAAACCGGCCGAAAATTTGAAACCCGCCTTAAAGAACACAAAAAGGACGTAGACACCGTAACAACACCCAAATCATTCACACGGGCTCAACGAAAACAGTCGGCTACCGAAATCACCAAATCCGCAATCACGGACCACGTAGCGAAGGACAATCACACCATCGATTGGGAGAACTCGAAGATCATCGATCGTGAGCCAATCAAAATCAGGCGTTGGATTAAGGAGGCCATCTGGATCCGCAAGACCCCGAACATCAATCGGGACGAGGGGGATACAGGCTTAGTCACATGTGGACTAAGCTATTGACCACCACACCATCTGGTGGTTAAAACTGACAATCATCAGTTAGCTTTGAGAAAGCCTCCTGACAGGAGGCGAAAACGTAAGCGGAACGTTTCCAATCTTCACGGTTGAGTAACAATTAACCCTGTTATATATAGTAGTAGTAAAGTGAATTGTGTAGTAATCGCACATGTTTTTGGCCATCAGACACCAACACATCACACTCACACTTGCACACATCACACTTACACGTGCACACATCACACTTACACGTGCACACATTACACTCACACTTACACGTGCACACATCACACTTACACGTGCACACATCACACTCACACCGTGCCACACATCAACACTCACACGTGCACACATCACAATTAGCACGGCTGCACACATTCAGCACTTCACACTTGCACACATTCACACTCACACTTAGCACACATTCAGCACTCACACTTGCACACACCACACTCACACTGGCCACCCACATCACACTTACACCGTGCACACACACATCAACACGTGCACACATCACAACTTTACACGTGCACAACATCACACTTACCCACGTACACACATCAACACTCACACGTGCACACACGACACTCAGCACGTGCACACAATCACACTCACACGTGCCACAAACAGCACTCACACATGCACACAAATTCACACTACAGCGTGCAGCACATTCACGACTCACACGTGCACACACATCTCTTACACGTGCATCACATCACACTCACGTGCACACACACACTCCACACGTGACACATCAACCACTCACACGTGGCACACTCACCACTCACAACGGCGCACACATCACACTTACACGTGCACACATCACACTCACACGTGCACACATCACACTCACACGTGCACACATCACACTCACACGTGCACACGTACATGCTCGCACAGACACTCAACATCGCTATCTAACGTTTCACTAAGATTAATCTGTAACACCCTTCGGTAGCGCCCTCCAGTGTCCAGCCTCGTCACGTCGCCCCGCATCGTTTCTCGTTGCAGGCATGCGTCGCATGACGGTGGACAGCCACGAGGGCCGGGTCGCCATCCGTCGCGAGGTCCTCAAGTACATCGTCAACATGAGCAGCTCGGTTGCGGTCAAGTCGGCCGAGCAAGGACTGCTGACGTACGTATACGCGCGGCGCGCGAGAACTGTGATCGCGTGTGCTGTGTGAGCGCGCGTGGGTCCGCCATCGTTCTAGTATATAGACTGACATGCGTACGTGCGACGCACGAGCATGCGTCTGCCATGCGACTTTTGTTTTCAGCATGCTCACAACCACATGTTAAACTGATCGTAACGAACTGCAGTTGAAAAATTAACTGGTGCATTCTCATCTCAGGGCAGTTTACCCGAATAACAGTGGTTTAGTTCACCGGTCAATATACTCCATAATGAACTAGTGCGTTCTCATCTGAGGGGCAGTTTACCCGAATAACAGCGGTTTAGTTCACCGGTCAATCTACTCCCTGCTTGGGAAGCAACTTGCTGACAAAACGAACCACTTGTCAAGTTGGCTCGGTTAGAACCGTCAAAGTACTCAGCGCGTGCGTGACCGTCATCACGTGTTGTCTGTCCTTCTCTCGTTGCGGCGCGTGTATAATGCTGTCTACCCATCTTTCGTTGCAGGCTGAAGCAGCGATTCCCGCCCGCCTTCCAGGACCTGTGTCTGTACTCGGAGCTGGCGCACTTGCTCGCGACATGCCGCTTCCGGCTGAGCGCGCGTCGGTTCCTGCAGGAGCTCTTCCAGGACGCGACGTTCGCCGAACTCTACGATGATCCGCGCGCGCTGCTGGCCATCGACGACGACGAGCTGCCCAGCACCGCCGAGGAGACGTAGCGCCCTCTGCTGGATGCTGCAGTCACACTATGCTGGTCACCATGGAGAAGATGCAGCATCAGCTAATGCTGTTGATGCTTGTGCTGTGGCAGCAATGCCCCCTGCTAGCTCAATTCATAGCCTCTGCCATGCACCATCGAGGAAACGTAACATTAGCTACTGTACAGCCTTAGCTGCAGGACTGCATACTCCTGGATGCAGTGACGTCTACTGCAGGCTGCAGTTATGTTTCTCTCGCGTAGGTTGGTTGTACTAATTTCACGTGAGCGGCCAAAACTGTGCCACGGGTTTTCGCAAGTGCGCTGTAATCGCAAGCTTTTAAAATCTTACTCGCTGGAGTTTTGCAGAGAACCATGTTCAGCGTTGCGGTGGGTGTCTTTTCTAATGGAATTGACCTCCACTTGCTCCTGTGCGTGTGTGGTGGTGGTGGGTACGTGCATATTCTCACATGCATCATGTGCATCGCTGTTTTGATGTGTATGTGCTCGTGTATACATGCATGTTTGTGTGTGTGTGTGTGTGTGTGTGTGCGTGTGCGTGTGCGTGTGCGTGTGCGTGTGCGTGTGCGTGTGCGTGT